ATTGTTAATAAGGAGAATAAGCTGTAAGGTTACCAGGACAGTCTTTGTTCCTAAGGACGTGTGATTCCCCATAATGCCCAGCTGATTACCAGCGAGGGGCAGTTGTGTGCGCGGCTCCGCTTCTCTCAGCTCGAGCTTCTTCCCAGCTCCGGTGCGCCCATTTCCAGCGACTTTTAGTACGAGCTTCTCTGAGCAGTTTGCTGAGTTTGGCCGAACCTATCTTCATGAGGCGATCAAAGTGCCTGTTCCCTTCCTGGTCTCCATTCTGCCAGCCTGTTCCTTTTCACTCCTTTTTCCTGCTTCTTTATTGATGACGTAACTTCATCGTGTTGCCTTTTTTCATCTTGAGGGCAGGCTCCCCTCTTATACCCTTCTCTCCACAGCAGTTCTTTTCAAAACAACTTTTCACTGGTCAAACAACTTTGCAAATAACAGCAACAGTGAACACCCAGAAACTTCTATGCCTCAATGGCTGGAGAACAAGAAACCTGAGACTGCATGGAGTCTCCTGAATCATCCTTCTTTGTTCCCTCTAAACAATTTTACATTCCTGATGGCCTCATCGTTAAGAGTCTAAAGTTATCTCAACCACGGTGCTTTCCAACCCCCATGGCCATACTCCCACATCTCCCCCTTCTTTATTAATATCAACCACTCTCGACACGAATTACCAGCCCATATATAACATCTCCATCCCAATGTCCTTTTGTTAATAACTCTAACAAACATATGCATCTTATGGATGAAACTGAACAGATAGCAGAAAAATCAGCAAGAACTCATTTCGCTTCTTGTTATTGCTGTGCTGTTGTGTTCTTCCTAGGAAGTTGTATGAGTTAGGTTTTGAGAAGGTGACAAAACTTTTGGAGTATTTTTTTAATCCAGTATCCTCTCTGTGTAAGTAAGATTGCATGAAAGACTGTATGCATTCTGCGTGAGCCTTCAGTACTTTCTGACCAGAGTCAATTAGAGGAAGTTTGCTTCCCAGATCATTGTGATAACACATCTGTTGCAGATATTACTGAGTTACGAACTTAATGCATATGCTGGGCACATGTAACAGGGCAAGCTAAAAGCCTTTCAGAAAGGTCTACGTTTCAGTAATGTAGGCTATGCTATAACCATTTAGATGGTTGTGCCAGTTCAGTCAAAAAGCCGTTTGACCCCTTCAGTGTAGTTGTCTCACCAATGAGGAACGCATCTTCTTTTTTCAAAACATATCACCTGGATCAGCCACAGTTCTTAAACTGAGTCAAGAATTCAGAGGGGTTGAATGTCCTTTGTTATGTAGAAGGTTGGAGTAGTCCCTAAAGACTTTAATCTGTAAATGCAAATATTAGTAGCCATTTCAGGATTGTTCCATTTTCTTTTTCCTGAATCCTCATCCAGTTATGTTATAAATGTCACATTGTAAATTGGCTTCTGTCATTTCTCTTGAGGAGTTTGTTGTAGAGAAAAACCCCATCTCTGAGTAAATAATTAATATCTTAGTTACATTTGATTAATTAAAATTATCTACAATTCTTTTGTTCTGAAATTGTACATTAACATTGATATGCCACCATCATGACCAACAAGCAGGACAGGAATAGAAAATACAAGTGGTAGATTTTTTCAATTTCTATTCTTTTTCATGGCAAATCAAAGCTCAGCACAGATTTAAATTTTCTACCAAGTTACAAGCAACTGAAATAGGATTACCAATGAGGTAATGTTTCTTAACACTTCTACAACTGAAAGAAGTTATCTGAAGCTTCCAAATAACATTATGTACAAGTTATTAAGTGCTACATCAGGCTGTTTTGCCAGAGAATCAGACTCTGGCAAACAAGCCTCTTTAGGCTCACTTGGGAAAGTAGTGAATAGACTGCAATTCTCTTGTTAGGTTTGAGCTCAAAAATAAGCAGAAACACTGCCAAGAATTGGACTGCCCTGCTGCTGACCTTCAAAAGTCAAAATGCTCCATAAGCTAATAGACATGCAGCTGGAACAAGATGCAACTGTACGCAAATACAAGATCCTCACTTCCTCATTAGAGGACTGGTTTCTCAACTGAGGCAAGACCATAGAGAAGAAAGCAGGCAGAGCAGTGGCAGAAACAATACTGCTTGTTGGAGCAAAGAGTGAACACTGCAAGGATTATCAGTAAAAATACTTCCTCAGCTAAAAAGTAAAAAATAGAAAAAGCAGAACTCTCATTTTGGCCAGTCATTTTAGAGTTCTTTTTCCACAAAATACGTGTACTAATAGATTAATTTTTCAGAAAATTAATGCTTAGCAAATTTTGTTGTTTCACTAATAAGTGACAAGGAAAGCAGCACGGAAAGTAATGATATATGATGCCCCTTCTGGGCTCTGCTCCAGAGGTGAGTGGAGATTGTTGCAGGCCTAGCCAGATTCCCTAGACTTCTTTGCTCAAACAAGAGCAATACACATTAAAAGTTATGTTTCATTTGTTATAAACACATTAAAAGTTTTGTTTAATTTGTTATAAATCAATGTCTTTAATCAATAGCTATTTGTCGACTGGGATGTACAGTAGAAACAAGAGGTTACAGCTATTTGGATTCTTTGTAATACCCTTTTAGCAACTATAGAACTCAGATTGCTTCCAAGTCCCCAGTATATTAATTGAATTAAAGTTGCAGTGGAAATGCCACATACATAGGGATGGTTTTTTTCCACATGTAAGTTCCTACAGAGCCAGAATTTCTTCCTCAGTGCAACCCCATGTTAAAAATCCCTGGCCCAGTTGCAGATGAGCTGGTACAGCCACATCAAGCACCAGCTCATGCTCCTTCCACATGAAAATACTGAGCTAAAAACAGCATTTGTATGTTGTCTTGGCAGTCTACTGAGAAAATGTACCCCTACCTATCAGGAAGGCCAATGAGTCCAGGCAGAGCATCCCTCCAGTGCAGATGTTCAGTTTTCAAGGCTGGTAACTTCTGTCTAGAACTGCATTCTTCTTTACAGAGACCTACAGCAAACTCTCAAAAGCTGTCCTTTCCACACTTCTGAGTTTAATGTCTTGTATGAGTGAGGCTTGTGCTTTTGAGAATCCGAAGGGCTGTGAGCTGCTGAAGTCTGTTTTTGATGCACTCCTTAAAGGCTTGTTCTAGATAAATCATAGCTCACTTCTAAGATGCTTTTTTTTTTTCATCTTGAGAGTTCCTCAACACTAAAACTGTCCTAAAACTTACAAATACTGTACCAAAAAAAATAAATAAAATAATAAAATAAAATAAAATAAAATAAAATAAAATAAAATAAAATAAAATAAAATAAAATAAAATAAAATAAAAAAATAAAATAAAATAAAATAAAATTAAATTAAATTAAATTAAATTAAAAAAATAAAATAAAATAAAATAAAATAAAATAAAATAAAATAAAATAAAATAAAATAAAATAAAATAAAATAAAATAAAATAAAATAAAATAAAATAGTGATGTGGCTGTTTACAAGTGGCATTCCTTCCCATCCCACTAGTTTACTGAACATTCTTCACTTAGGTACTTTAATTGGGAAAAAATCACTCAAATCAGCAGCTGCAATGCTGACCTCGTTTTCAAACCCTAACCTAACAGATGAGACAAGTAAGTAATATGCTGAAACTGCTACTAAATTGTTACTGCTAAATAGACTAAATGATAAAAACGCAGATCTTAGATTCTGGGTTCTTTGCATCTTTCTGATCCACCTGTCCTTTGTGATCCTTTGATACTGTCTTCCTTAACTGAACTAAAGATGAATACCTTTAGGGAGCATTAAACTGTGGACTAGTAGATTCCCTATGAGTTAGCAAACAAGAACAATATCACTCAGAAAACAAAACTGTCCTTTTACAATCGAATCTACTCTTCATCTTCAGAAGTCAGAAGTTTCTACATTCCTATTGGTATCATCTAGTTTTGTTTGTTTGTTTTTGTTTGTTTTTTTCTATTCAGTGCAAGTCCTTGGATAAAATGTCTCAAAATGAGAATTCTTTCCCAAGGGTAATGCTCTTTTTTTTTTTTTTTTTTGGTCTCCTCTCTCATTTAAATCTATCAGGGTGAAAAAGTATAGTATATGTTCTTTTGGTTCTAATTTAATTGGAACATCTTCTCACAGCATCAGTGTTAGAATTACACTATTTTGCTTTGATTCTGTTTTCAGCTCTCCTGCCTGACTGCTCATAAGATGACACTTGTATAAAATGATTAAGAAATATTTATAGCCTTGTGTAGAAATCTTATTGTATCTGTTTTTTTTTTTTCATACTTGTAAGTTTATTTTTTGAAAACTTCTAATTGATAGGATGGATACATATGTAGAGTTATGTTTCCTTACAGATATCCATTTCCATCTCTGTCTTTGAGCAAATAATATGTAAATAAAGCTGAATTTTCTTCACATTACCCTCAATAAATGGATTTAAACAACTACACAAATCTCCTAATTCAACTCGTCAGTTCTAGTAGTTTTAAGATAAATCCAGTAGGCTTAACTCTAAGCTTCCAAATAGATCTCTGCCAACAGTCAGTTAAAGTTCTCGTTATCCAATCCTTTACATTCACTGAGGCTTGCAGTTGCTATGGTTTCAAAGATTTCACTAAAACTAAAACACTTCTCTATGTGCCAGCACAACTAATTAGCTTAGATAAATAATTTCTTTGATCTCAGGTGCCCTGACAGACAAGTCATACAAGTGCTGACCAAACACAAGTTTTCCTGCATTTATTTCCTCCTCTCTAACTCCAGAAACTGGGGCAAAGAAGAAAATTTATATTGAGATACCTAATATATGTCTAACATATAAACATCACATTTTCCTGGGATTTCTTGCTGTCCTCAGTTCATTTAGCAGAAGTGTGCTAAGTGACTTAAGTAAGTGTCTTAAGTGACTTTAAGTCATCAAGATTTTAGCTATAAATCAAAAACTGTAAACTTTTCAGCATCTGTAAGACACTATTAAACAATTATCTATAATAAATATTTTTCTTTTTTTTTTTTCCAGTCATAATATTCTTCTGTATGAGGATGGACATGCAGTTGTTGCTGATTTTGGAGGTAAAGAGTTCTTATGATAAATCTATAAACTAACTTAAAATTCTCTAAAACTAAATATGTGCTGACAAAGGAAATGTTGAGGAAGTTTGTTCTTCATTTTGTTATTATGAAAGGAGAGAAAAGGACACATTTTAAGGATGATAATGCCCCTATTTTGTGTCTCAGCCAAGTTAGAGGTTGCTGTGGAGTACTCCACTGTATATGTGAGAAGAAAACCCAGATGACAGTGAGATGGGTGCATCTCAGTTTGAGTAAGTTTTAGCGGTGGGTTAGAGAAAACTAAGTGAATGCCTCTAGTAGAGGACATGTCCTCCTCTTCCAAGACAAGTGCTCAGAATCTGAGGACAGTGTTGTGTATCAGTCTGTTACTGTTAGGAGCCAAACTCCAGGGCTTTCATTTTACTTAAAATAGCAGAATGTAGTTCAAAATAATAAAGAACTACTCCATAGTCCATAACTTTAGTTATGGACTTGGCATTTTCTATTCAAAATAAAACTAAGCTATATTTTATGAATCTGTATCTTGTGCATCGTCTTGGTGTTTATCAGTCAAGCTGCACAAGAATATGTTCATGTTGGTGCAAGAATGGAGTATGGGGAGCTGGTTTTGACCTAGCTCCTGAAGAACTACTTCACCTAAGACATGGCCATTGTTACTGCACAGTATCACCACAGATGTGATCACTAGAGATGCATGGATATCAGCTTAACACAGGAGTGTGGTGTAGCATGATATTATCTGTGAGGGACACAGTGCTGACCCAGACTTGCTGTTGTTGAGCTTGCTGGAGCAAGGAGATAGCACAAGGCTTGGACCACATGGGAATGCCTCCTTCTCTGGAGTGTTGCTGAAAGTACTCCTGTTCGTATAGATGAAAGTATAAGTGTATTTTTCTGATATGTCAAAGGCATCTGAAGTCCCGCTTGGGAACTTATTTATGTATCACAAAATAGAGCACACACTACTTTCACTGTATTAATGCAAGATCTTGTCACTTCTAGGTGTGCTGCTTTTCTGACATTAAATAAGACTGACAAGCTTCTTTGGGACTGAATGTCAATGCAATACTCAGTTACTGTTTGCTGTAAATCTAGATACACTGATATTGACCAGTACAAATAAATGTGAGAGTCCAAATTCTGAACTGGATCCTCAGTTGTTATTAACTGCTATTAATGACAACAGAGCTGTGTAGATTTATACCAATGCCGAATTTGGCAGGCAGGTTTGAGACACCTCATTGTCTCTACGCACCCTTGTTGAATATCAGCCATCACAATTTGCCTGGATTTTCAAAACCCCAGTGGTATTAAAAAATACTTTTTACCAAGACTTTATAGTTATTACTATTTATAATAAGGCTGATATTTATAGTGGCTTGACAGTAAAACTTTTTTTTTTTTCTGTGTGTTTCAGAATCAAGATTTTTGCAGTCCCTGGATGAAGACAACATGACAAAACAACCTGGGGTTTGTTTCTTGTTTTGTTTCACATAGTTTGTATAAAACATACAGGCAAGCTCAGTTTACGAGAAAATTATATTAGAAATGTCATTTTTTGATGGATTAGATGAAATGGTATAGTGTTATATCTCTTTTTATATTTTTTCATTTAGGCCTCTTTACTAGCGAGATTAGTGAATACAAAATATATTTTCTTAATCTGCAGCAGAAAACAATTTTATAAGGCTCTTCCTTGGGTTCTAGTGCCCCCAAAATCCTTAGTAAAACATATTTTTTTCTATCCACCCTTCCCGACTCATATACATACATTGGTGGCAGGTGGTCCCTATTTCTAATGAGAAGTTAGTTATTTGACACTTATTTTCTTTCAGAATTCTTTTCTCCATTTCAGGCATATTTTTAAGAAAGACAGCTTTTATAAGACAGCATTGTCTTTACAGGTTTTAGTCCAAGTGCATTCTGTGTATCACTCTGTGGTCATGAGGCTTTCCATCATCATAATGACTAATTGTGGAATGCTAAGGCTGGGGTTCAGCACTCATCTTTTCAACCAGTTGCTATGTGCACTCAGTGTGGAGTACCTACTACTGCTGTAGGCCTGGGTCTTGTCAGGCTTTGATGATCTCTTGCTGAGAAGGGCTGGTTTGTAAAGAGAGAAAGGTTAGTTAGTGAGGTGCCAACAGCTGGCAAAGAGACCCTGCACTCATCACTCCAGTGAAAGGGTGATTGCTTGTGAAGCAGTCTCAGAATTGTGCTTCTGCAGAGAGTAGTAAGATCCCAGAGGGGGCACTAACCCAACACAGCGGACATCAGTTTTTCCCTTTGCCAGCTAGAGTAGTGTTTAACTGGTATTAGATGGCAAGCTCAGACCTTATACTTCAGACTATGTAAAGTTGAGTGTTTTGTTTTTATTCTAGCAATAATCTCTTCCTTAAAGCTTGATCACTGTCTCTATAGGGTTGAAGCATATATCATACTAATGCTGTTATGCATATATCATACTAATGCTGTATCATGTGAAAAAGATTACTGCCTGAATTTTGCATGCTATGGTGAAAGCTTTTCCCAGCAAACTTACAAGTTGTTTTATTGAGCAATGGAGGCAAGGAAATAACAAAAGAAAAGAAAAATAACAATACAACTAGAGGAAAAGAGACATGCATGAGGAAGTAAACTCTCTTAATGTATACTTGATGTTTCATATACAGAACCTACGCTGGATGGCCCCTGAAGTGTTCACTCAGTGTACAAGATACACCATAAAAGCTGATGTTTTCAGCTATGCTTTGTGTCTCTGGGAGCTGCTAACAGGTGAAATTCCATTTGCTCACCTAAAACCAGGTAAGATGCTCAGTGAATTAATGTTTAAAGATCCAGTTACACTGCAAGATATTATTTTACTAAAAATTATCGTTAAGTGCTAAAACTCAGTGAAAGGCATAGAACTACCCCACTATAATGCCATATACTACTTATTTTTATAATTCTATATTAGAGGGTTTTGACCTCCCGTGACATCAACACCAGCCTTTCCAGTTTGTCCTCCTATGGCATGGGGTCGATTTGTGACCATGCTGTTATGCAGCTCCCTCCACACAGGAAGGAGGAAGAACCTCACTGATGTATTTTACTCCAGCAACTGAAAAACTTGTGGAAATTGGGGGATTTTTTTGTTTGTGTTAAGCGGTTTTGGGTACAATGAATACAGTTGCTGGGGGAACAGATGCGCAACATTTGTCAGATGGCTTTCAGGCAGAATTTTTTGATGTTTGGAGAAAGCATGGCCAATGGCAGCATTCTGACCTTTAAAAAGGTGAGTTTCTCTTCATACAAGTGTTTGTGCCCAAGCAGAATATATATATTTGTAATTTTGTATGTATACATGTTCTGTAAAAAGCAACTTTGAAGGTGCTGTATCATTTGTAATATGTATAAAACTCCTACATTTACAACATATGTTTACATAATGTCTATTCAGTTAAAAACAAATCCCATATTTTTATCAAAGTATGTATTGCAAGGTGAGGAATAACAGGACAGTTTTTAGGAAGAAAGTCTCATATCTGTAAAACACTGTCACTCTAATTATGCATCAATGACTTTTTTTTTTCTTTTTTTATTATTGTTACCTTTGTGCAGGCTTAGAGGTCCAGGAAGCCATTCTTGTGAAGTTCATTGTCATAATTAAGTGTTGAAAGTAATGCATGATTATAAAATATCATGCTAACAGAATCTTACCCCTTTAAATGGATGTATTATCACATTAAAAGCAATTCCATCTACCCTACTGAACCTAGTATGATATCCAATTCTGTTAATGTGTACTATATACTGAATAAAATACCTATTCATCAGTTCTTTACCTGATGAAAATGAATAAACATTTTTAAATTGACTTGTAGTTACTCTGACCCAGAGGAATGGTAGATGAAACAGCCAGTCAAAAACAGAAAATATTCAGAGGTTGAAGGCTATTACACAGGAGAGTTTAAAAGCATCACTAAGTTCAGAATTTGGGGCACCACCCAAAACCTTTTTGATTCATATTTGAGAAGAACAGATTCTTGTCAATCTGAAGTATTTTTTAAAAGATGTCATCAAATCATAGAATCATAGAATATCCAAACTGAAAGGAACCCACAAGTATCATCAAGTCCAATTCCTGGGTCCCCAAAGGACCACCCAAAAAAAAAAAATCAGAAATCAGACCATGTGTCTGAGAGCATTGTCTAAACACTTCCTGAACTCTGGCAGGCTTAGTGCCATGACAACATCCCTGTGGAGTCTGTTCCAGTGCCTGACAACCCTCTCAGTGAAAAACCTTTTCCTGATATCCATCCTGAACCTCCCCTGTCGCATCTTTAAGCTATTCCCTCAGGTCCTGTCGCTGGTCCCCAGAGAGAAGAGCTCAGTGCCTGCCTCGTGAGGAAGCTGTAGACCATGATGAGGTCTCCCCTCAATCGCCTCTTCTCCAGGCTGAACAATCCAAGTGACTTCAGCCGCTCCTCATACATCTTCTCCTCTAGGCCCTTCACCATCTTTGTAGCCCTTCTCTGGACACTCTCCAAGTTTAATATCCTTCTTGTACTTCTTGTCTTCTGTGGTGCCCAGAACTGCACACAGTACTCGAGGTGAGGCCTCACCAGCGCAGAGTAGAGCGGGACAATCACCTCCCTCGACCGACTAGCGATGCTGTGCTTGATGCACCCCAGGATGCAGTTGGCCTTCCTGGCTGCCAGGGCACACCGCTGGCTCATGTTCAGCTTGCTGTTGATCAAAAGCCCCAGACTCCTTTCTGTGGTGCTGCTCTTCAGCATCTTGTCTCCCAGTCTGTCAGTATAACCAGTGTTGCACCTTCCCAGGTGCAGAATCTGGCACTTGCTCTTGTTAAATTTTATAATGTTGGTGATTGCCCAGCTCTCTAATTTGTCCAGCAAACTTGCTCAAAAAATTTTCAAGTCCCTCATCCAAATCTCTTATGAAAACATTGAAGAGGACTGGTTCTAAAATGGAGCACTGGGGAATTCCACCAGTGACGTGTTGCCCGCTCGATGTAACCCCATTTACAAGAACCCTCTGTGCCTGACCCATCAGCCAAGCATTCACCCATTTTATTATGCTTTTATCTAAATGTGTTCTGATGGTTTTGTCCAGAAGGATACTGTGAAAAATGGTATTGAAAGCTTTACTGAAATCTAGAAAGATTACATCGACTGTCATCCTTTGGTCGACTAGCTGGGTAATCTTGTTGTAAAAGGAAATTAAGTTTGTTAGGCATGACCTTCCCCAGGTGAACCCGTGTTGGCTCAGATGAATGACCACACTGGCCTTTAGTTGTCAGCAGAAGTTCTGATGACTTTGGCATAAGATTTTACCAATAGGTAATATATCACATACCTTTGGTGAAAATAAATGGGGGTGGGGGAGGGAGCATTTTTCATTGCAGTTTTATTTTGGTTTCCATTTGCCTTCTCTTTTCATGGCATCTGATAGGCAAAAGATTAATCCAATAGTATCTGATTCATACTTTCCAAACCTCATCAGAGTGCAGTCAAAATTAGGCTGTGTGGCTGTGTTTGCCTCTTCTGTCCACATATAGTTACAATACCACAGGATTTATCTGATATTATTTGCATTCTGAAATATCATTACAGTCAAAAATTGCAATGAGAACAGAGAATGGATGACATTTCCTATGACAAAGTCTGTGATGAGAATGGAATATGGTTAAAAAATACATTATTGTTACAATTCTGTGATTGCAATCTTATGGTTCTACACATGTTCCATAGCTCTGATCTCATATCATTTTAAAGTGCCAGGCAAACAAAGGACTTTACTTAGCTTTTGATACTTGTTCAAAATACATTTGTTTTCACTTGAAAACATTTTGCTTAAAATGAATGGAAGGGACTAGCCATGTGTTTGGATTCAGTAAATGTGTTATCACAATTGGGAAAATATTTTGGCAGTTTTATGTTGGTCTGTAGGAGCTATAGCTTATAAAATGATATGCAATAGACTTTTACTAATGAAACACTTTGAGTTAATTTTAGTAATAGAATGTAATAGAACTAACCACAGGTTATTTTAAGATATCTGAGTTGTTACCAATTTATCTGCAACTGGATTATACATTATCCTGTCTTAATAATTAAGAGAATAATGTATTTAATTAAAAAAAAAAAAAAAAAAAAAAAAGTTAATTCATTCTTTCTTAGGGATGACCCTGAACTAGATTGTCTTTCTATTCAGGGCCATGGGTGGTCTTAGCTATCTTTAAAAGCGGTATGGATTTGAAAGCCTCTTTAAGCCACAAGTTTTATCCACAGGTGTGGTGGCTGTGGACTTTTGTGCCTGGGGTGTACAGCAGTAGCAGGTAGTCTGTGTCTTCCCTAGGAACACCTGTAACACCTGGATGCTCACATCTCTCTGTTGGGCTGTTCCCTTGCAGCAGCGGCAGCAGCAGACATGGCATACCACCACATTCGCCCGCCCATCGGGTACTCCATCCCTAAGCCCATCTCTGCCCTACTGATGAGAGGCTGGAACGCCTGCCCTGAGGTGAGTGCCCCGGCTCCACACAGCTGGAGAGGCAGCAGGACAAGAGGTACAGACATTTAACGCCAGCCATTTGTCTGACTTCACAGGGCTTCCCCAAACGCACCGATTACTGTGAGAAGTGCCACTGCAGATAGCTCTGGGACAGATAATGATGAATGCTGAGAAATACAGAAACACAGAATAGTTGGTGAATTGAGGAGGAAAGCAAATGGTTATTTAGACATTCAATGAAATTTTGAGTAATTACGTTATAAAACTTTGATTGTGACTTATACTGAGTGGAAAAATATTTTCTGCTCTCAGACTTCTGTAGACTTTTTCTATGAATTACTGACTTTTCTCCACATTAAAAGTGAAATTTGCATCATCAAAAAGAGGAACCAAGGTACTGTGGAAGTGTATAAGCTTATATTTTTCTACCATGCCCTGAGGTTTTTTCCATGATACACTGAAGATACTAGCAAAAGAGTGGTACAGAAGACAGCAGGTCCTGAATACAACCAGAAGTCCCCTCCCTAGCCTTTCTGGTAGTCCTCCTTCTAGGAACAGATGGGGATAGGACACACAGAGAAAAATTATGAAAATTCTTGTTTCTAGGGCTACTTTCTTCATGGCAGTTGCTTTCAGCTCATAACACACAAAATTTCTCACTCTTTTGTGTTCTTAAGTTGCTATGAAGACAAACTCTAGATTCTATTTTTCTTCTCTCAAACAGTGCATAGTAAGGCTAATGAAGAATGCATTGCCTGGGCCTAGAGACCAGTCCTAGTAAGGTGATATTGTAGCGATGCATTTTCAGAACCTTGGGTTTTGAAGTTGAACTAAGAATTTTTTGGATCTGCTCAGAACTTCTAATATGCAAAACTCTGGGTTCCAGGCAGCATCTCTAGCTAATTGTTTGGAGAGCGTGCAGTGACTGGTTATGAGATCTCCAGGGTAGTAATCTTAAAAGCAGTCTACCAGGCTGTGAATGGAAGAGCACTTGTCCTGTAGAAAGGTTTTTCTCACAGAGGATTACAGAGGTGGGTACATCCTGTAGGTCCTTTCTGTGCTTCTGTGTATCAGCCAGGCAAGTGACCCTGTGTCTATAATGCCATTTTTGCATACATAGCTGCAGCAATCACACACACACATTTTTTGCGTATTGCCCTCAACTGTCTGAAAAGTCAATAAAGATGCTCCAGAGACTAGGAATTCAGTTTGTTTATAAAATGTTCCATGAAGTGGGATAGCTACGTCAGGAGACACATTGGATGAATGGGCTTTGGGTTTGGATATATTTTTTTTCGTATGTTTGGTTTGCTGGTGCTACGCTGGCATTAAAGGACTGCATTTAACAAAATGGGAGTTTCAATATAGATGAATGGGAAGGGATTTTAGAACGTCTATAATTTTCTGGTGTTACAGAAGCCTTGTTGAATATGCTGCTTCATATTATTGAACCAGATACCGTGACTTTGAATTTCACACTGGAAGCAGAGTCCTGTATTTTTGCCCTTAAGTACCATTTTTAGTTAGCTTAGCTTAGAAAGACAGGTTTTTGTGTTCCTAAACCTATCCTTGTTCTGGATACTTGAGAGCTTTCTCAACTGATTTAGTGGACTAAGGAACATGCTTAGGTGCTGTACCAAGGCAGTGGAAGAGGGAGGTTTGTGTAACTTTGGGCTACCAATTTCCTTCAGAGAGTTTTGCCCCCTTACTGTATTCCTGACTGGATACTTACCTAATATTTCATTTTGAGAATTGCAGATAAAATGTGTTGTATGTTCTGTGCATGGCATAGTTAGCTTATTTCATAGCTATTTTGTCTCATTTTTGTTAAAGTTTCCTGGATACTTGAATATGGTGTTGTCTTCCCATTTTATGAGCTAATGTTAGGATGGAGTGGAGGGCGAGGGGGGCAGTTTGTTTGTTTTTTCCATGTAACTATAAAGCATCTGCTAATAACCATCAGCAAGTAACTCACATTCTGTTTAGAGTTATTAATAAGATGTCATAGTAAATTGTTGACTTAAGCGAGCAGTATGTAATGAATAGAGTCACTGTATCTTGTTAGCATTTCCACAGCTCATTTAGCCCCAAATAAAAAGAAAACATCCTTTCAGAATTTTAATGCACTTTGCTGCTCATCAGTATAACTTGAACATCATTTAATCTTACTAATGTTATAGAGCTGCATGGCAGAATTATAAGGCAATTGATAGCTCAATCAGCCAGAGGATAACTTGAATTTTGCACAAAATGTGGGCAAAAACTTATTGAAATGAGCTTTTTTAAAAGGTGTTTTGCTACATAAAATTACTTTACTCTCAGTAACAAAGGTTTTGGATTACTTCTGAAGGCCTCAGAAAAATTTCAGGACAGCCATAGGACAAAGAACGTTACAATGATAACACCTTCTAGTCAGCATTTGAAAGGTTTGCTGTACAGTCAACAGACTATTCTAAAACAGTGAATACAAATATGGAATACTGCTATAAATTCACTGCACAGCTTAAAAACCAATTCTTCTAAAGTGTCTCCGTTATACCATGTATGTATCTAGCGTGTATAATAATCCTTGACCCAGTGATATCTTCTGAGCATAACACACAAGAAGAGGAACCGAATGCTATTAGTGAGCCACCATAACAAGTAGAATGAGTAAAATACCTAAATGGTAAAAAACATCACCATATAAATACCCATTTTGCAGAATTTCACTGTAGGTGCATAAACAAAGATATTTCTCTCTATATTTATTTAAAAGAGGGGTCATTTGTTAGGGGAAAATGGTTGAACTTTGGGGCTCAATGAGTGTTCACAGAATTCTCCTATGTTAGCTTAGTTTAAAAACAAACAAACAACAACAAAACTTAGGTAATAAAATGATGTCTATCTGGATGAATTTTGCTGAACATCTATGAAATGCCTCCAGATTGGAAGACTTATCCTTTTAATCATATTTAATTTCATTCAAGGTTCATCCCAACTGAAAGTTTGTTCCTATGTATCATGTCACTGTTTCCATTTATCGAGTACTTGAACATCTGCTTTCTGCACACTCCTGAAAATAGTTGTTTACAAAGGCAAATAGATGACTAGAAAAAAAATTAGACTGGCTCTTAACCAGCATTTTCCATTAGATATTTTAATTTATAAGATTTAATGAGAATCAAAGTATTTGCCGTAGAATCTGTGGCTCGGTTCACATAAACATTGCTTTAGGTTTAGTGAGTGGAACTCTTATTTTAAAGGCACTGATCAGTTCTTCCATAGTCTCTGATGGGCTTTTGATCAAGTTCTGTTGAATGTGGTAGAGCTTGTCACATGCAATAAATGAAGTATTTCTTAAACACTTTGTAGACTAAAGCTTAGTGATACTCTAATACTGCAAGAGAGGGGACTTAGGTACATGGTCATATACCACTTTTATAATAAAATCCTTTATAAAGGGAGCCACTGAAATCACCTCACAATGAAGTTTCTGTCCAGTCATCAGACAAGATCTCCTTTCTTCCCACCAGCCTTGCACCAGCTAAAGAAGAGGCAACTCTGAGAATTCCTTGACCCTGTGAAGGATACCGTGTTTGTAGGGAAGTTATTTGCATGGGAACATTTTGATAGGCACAAGTTATTCACAGCAGTGAATAACTACAGCAGTGAATAACTTATTGAAGCAACTTACTGAAGCCCGAGATTTCCATGAGATCGCAGTATCTTTCCAAAGTAGTTCCTCCTTGTTGGTTTTGTTTGTTTATTTGTTTGTTTTTATCTGGAATATCTCATTGCAACAGTTGGCATCATGTGACAGAAAGAACATCAATATTTCATTGTATTACTGAAATCTTATGACCTAATCATTATTAGTTCAAGACTAATTGTTACTGAAAAATAGAATAATGCAGTTAATGTTAAACACACAACTCTTAGTTTCATAGCTTTGTACTAAACCTGCAGTTCCCATCAGATTCGCAAGCAGACTGAAAGCAATGCAATGAAAACCAAAGAAAAGGAAATGGAGGGGATTTGTGATTCCTCATATATCTGTTAGTTTTTTCAATCACAGAAGATGTCTCTTCTATTTTTAACACAGCTCTGCTTTTTCTATTGTATGCACAGGGAAGACCAGAATTTTCAGAAGTGGTCACAAAATTAGAAGAATGTCTGTGCAATATTGAGGTAAGGTCCTTATTTCTACTGTGGTATATCTGTGTGCATGCAGTGTCATAAAAAAATACAAATAAGGGAAGCAGCAGGTGCTGAGGGGAATGGTAGCTTTTGTCTGGAAGTGCTTGAGCTGCTTCATCCTGTTGCAAACCAACACATTGAATTTTTAAGGCACATTATCAGTAATGGTTTTCATGGGTGTCAGGAGGAGCACCAGATATTGCTGTGAGTGTCAGCAACTACTCAGAGAGAGGAACGCTGATGAGAGAGCGCGACCAGTGGGGTGGAGGTGTGGTTCACATTAGTCCTTGGCAGGTTTTTTCCTCCCATTCATCAAACCCAAGTCTACTTGGTTTAAGAAGAAGAAAAGACAAACTGGACAAGACCCATGGAAGAAAGGTAAAAATACAAAACATAAGAAGGATGAATGCAAAGACAAATTCCTGCTCTGCCCTGTGGCTATGACATAAACGGATGTATCAGCATTCAGCCTGGTATAAAATAAGTGGTGAAACAGCAACTAAACTTGAATCAGGGTTGCAGTTCCTAAAATTATATTTTCTGTGTGCATGTGTATGTATTTAAGAGTTTAAAAAATCTAAATCCTTCCTTTTAAAATGTATCACTGCTCTTGAGCTTAAGGATCAGAAAGACACCCATAATCTACTGCATTTCTTCATGTTCTGACTATAGTTGGTTGCTCTACACATAGGTGGAAGCTTTTAAGTGCAAAAAATTGTGAAGCACTATATCACAAGAAACAGTGCCATCTCGTGGGACACATAACTTCTATGATACGCAGGCAGCAGTGCATGCAGGAAGAAATCTGGATCAAGAGTTCACACACACACACACACACAAATAAAAAAATGCTTTATTTAGCCTTGGAGTTAGACTTAAGCTCCACTGTGTCCAGGGCAAAGCCTTGTTTCTGGGGAAAACTCTCCACTTCCCTCTACTTCCTGCTCTTCTTCTTCTTGCTCAGCAAATCATTTCTTCTCCTTTTAAATATCTCTGAATCCAGGCATGACAAGGACTTTTTGTGCCAGCAAGTCTATGGCCCTGCTGCTGCATACATGCATTTGTATATACACTGATTCGAAGATCGAAGCCAAAATTTCCTTAAGTGGTATATTCTTTATTGCAGCACTGGATGCACGGGGGATCTTTCCACCTATCATGCATGTCTGAAGTAACAAACCATCTCATATTTATACAGCAAAATGATGAATATTCTATTAATGCCTATACATATTCATTACCTAAACCCACCCACTCTCACTTCATATGCTAATTAGCTTATCAGTCCTTGCGTAAAGCCTTCCATGAATTGTGGGCCGGAGTCTTCGGGACATGGGCAGTGGTCTTTGGGAGGAAGACCATGGGTCTTCCTCGTGATGCACTTTTCACCTTTTGCTTAAAAAATGCCAGATAGGATGAATCAGTTGTTTTCCAAGCTGAGTTGGCTTTTGGCCTAACTGAGGGTCAGCAGATAACGGGATGTCTCAGTTAACAAGACATAACAGAAGGTTGACTCAAGTTATCTCAAGTCTCAGCCTGACTGAGGGTTGACAGATAACGGGATGTTTCAATTAACAAGATGCTTCAACATAACAAAAGGTCAACAGATAACAAGATGTCATCTATTTTGTTCTCATTAATTTTTAACCACAAGATTTATTCTATCCTAAAGTGAGTCTATACAATATCTACACACGTATTAATGTGCTAGCCCTGTATTCACATTGTCCCATCAGTCTGAACTCCTGTCCTGAGACACTCAGACAGGACCACTCTGGTCAGGCAGCACTGCCACCTTTCTGGTACAGATGGGAAAGTCTCACACAATGGCTCCCACTAGGGAAGCAGCAATGCCTCCCAGCTGCACAGTGAATGCTCACAAGCCAAGTAACTTGCATCTGGGCTGAAGTTTATCTTATCTTCTTGAAAGTCATCCAATCCCAGCTTGAAAACTGCTGGCAATGATGAACCAACCACTTTGTTGGCAGGCAGCATCCAGCTGTCCTCCTCAGCTGTTCAAAGTCAGAAGGCATTGCTTTTTTTCCAGCCAAACATTAAGGAAATATGGGACACACAACTTGTGAGAAAGAGCTGAGGACAGATATGTATGAATGTAATGTAATAACAGTGCCTTTTGTGCTTTTTTTTTTTTTTTTTTTTTTTTTTAATCCAGTTAATGTCTCCTGCCTCTAGCAACAGCAGTGGTTCTCTGTCTCCTTCCTCATCTTCGGACTGTCTCGTTGCACGTGGAGGTCCTGGCCGTAGTCATGTTGCAGCATTACGTAGTCGTTTTGAGTTGGAATATGCTTTAAATGCAAGAGCTTATGCTGTCTGGTCACAGAGGTATGTTCCACCCATTGCATGCTCAGGAGGGCTCTTACTCTGAAACAGAGAGAATCCTTCCCAGGGCTGTATGGCTCACTTGGCTCAGATGGGAGGGATTGTCCCCTGCTACCAGGTGTGGCTGCATGGGAAGCAGGCGGTAGAAACACACCCTGGGGTATGCAGTACACAGCTGATCCACTGCCAGGGCCAGCCTGGGAAAGCACTTTTGCAGTCTTGTCTTCTCCTGTAGCTCCTCTAACATGGTGGTCTGGGTTATCTGAACACCGAGGAAGCTGTCCTGCTGTCAAGACAACTGCTAAGAATTTGCATTTTTCACAATGGATAACATCAAGTTAGTGGAATGGCTGCGATAGAAAAGCGAAGTAATTGAACGGGTGTCATTTGTTAATACTGTGTTTCTCAATTCTGGATTTTAGTTTTCATTTTTTTTTCATCTTGATCACAAATCGTGATATGATCAAATGAATGATTTAATTAACACTGGCTAATTGTGTTGCACTAAGAGGAGCAAGCACCGCCAGGTGCTGTCATTCTGCAGGTAAAAGCATCCAGACTAAAAAGGAGACAGGCAGAAACCAGGCTGTCCCAGCAGGTACCGTGGCAAGAAATACAAATGCAAAGTCCCTTTTCCTTTAGGAAGAGGAAGGGATCTCTGCCTCACAGAGCACTGCTGTAGCTGTTCCTACTGGGGCACATCTTAAAATTTGCATTTCGTTCAGTTTATGCCCACAGAAGGATAAGAACTCCCAACATTTTCAATGCAAAGCAACATATGGGTTCTCTATACAACCACAACATTAAAGTTAATATCTGAGGCAGTCTGCCCTACCACTCAGGAAGACCTGGCTTTGAGGGCAAATTTAGCAGTCTCTTGTCTCTGTCCCATGGGGACTGAGAGTACTATGAAGATGAAATGATCTCTTAATCTCTGCCAGAAGAGTTGTGCGCTTAGTCTAAACTTTACCCTTTAGCACCACTTAGCAGTCAGAAATATTAATAGCAGAGCTTGTGATTCATTCCTGGTAACAGGGATGTGGAAAGTCAGAAATACAGTCAGCTAAAACGAGGAGCTGGAGTAGAGGAGCATGGTAAATCAATCATTTCACTGTTTGGGGTCTCTGACAGAGAGGCAGATGGCAAACACCTGCAGACAGATGCTGAAAACTTCCATATAAAAATAAAAATCACACCTAAAATGTTATCTGGCAACATAAGATACCAGATGAATTTCTTTGCTTTGATGTACACTGCCTTGGCAGGACATGGAGGTGGGGACCGAGGTCAAGATGGAAAGAATGTGAACTAGCCTTTTGTCTATAAAGGACCAGATTTTGCTGTTAGGTGTAATAGATGCGCATGAAAGGAATAAGAAAATGGTGTATTTAGGTTACAGCATAGATACAAGAGAGAGAAAAGGGACACTTAAAAGTGCCTCTCTTGTCCTGTAATTCAGTGTTCTCAATACAGCGCTGAGGCTTGTTAGCACACCAAAATGGGTTCTTCTGTAACCTCAGCAGTTATTTAAAGTTGTATGCTTTTATCAGATGCTCTGCCATACAAACTAACAACATTAAATCTATAAATAGCACCCAGGAAGGCTCATCCAGAGGCACAGCATTCAATGCAAAGGGAATGGCTTCCACTGCTTTAGAAGTTTTTCAATTATACAACACCCTGAGATGATTAATAAATTCACTTTCTAATGACAATGTTTTTTTAGGATTTCTTTTTTGTAAGCATAGGCATTTTCAGAGGGAATGGGCCCTATTTTTGTGTTTTTTTCCCCAGCTGGACTGTTTTTCTTGGGCTGTCCCCTGTTTTATCTGCTGACAGCTTCGTGTCCTGTGCAGTATTGCACAGCATGCAACTCCATTCCACAGCAGCAACAACCCAGCTAACGAAGTCTCCATCTACTATGGAGCTGAACAGCCCCAACACCGAACTTGTTTCTTGCCTTTGTAACTTCAGTGCCAGTGTTTAGCAAATCTCCCTCCCTTGTGGCAACTGTTGCTACGCACAAAGTAATGAGAGGTGGGCTGCGGTAGTCTAATACATGGAATGAGCTGGATGAAAGAGCAGCACATTTTAATTGTCTGTCTAACAGGACAGCTTAGCGTGTCGACTCATCACAGTATAGATGCTGGATGTTAGGAAGAACTTCTTTACTGAAACCCTTACTGAAAGGGTTGTTAGACATTGGAACAGGCTGCCCAGGGAAGTGGTGGAGTCACTATCCCTGGAAGTCTTTAAAAGACGTTTAGATGTAGAGCTTAGGGATATGGTTTAGTGGGGACTGTTAGCATTAGGTCAGAGCTTGGACTCGATGATCTTGAGGTCTCTTCCAACCTAGAAATTCTGTGATTCTATGTAAACTGATACCTCCTATCTAATTTGCAGCACTGGGCAACACCTTTCTCAGGGTCTTTCTTTGGATGACATGAGAAGAAACTTCCAGTATCCACCGATCGACAAAAATGGTGAGTTATTGCACAATACTCTTCTTAGTATCTTGCAGTGTTTAACCAGTGCAGAGCTACAGTCTCCTGCAGTATAAAAAACCTGAAGAAAAAATTAATGTTCAATGCAGACTGCTAGTTACAGTCAGTGAGAGCTTGTGAGGTCTGACCCCATGCTCCATGCAGCTCTTTACCACTTTCAATCTATTTGTGCACCAAGCTTTTTGGGAATGGGATGTTCTGTTCTATCTGTGTGCATGAATCTGTGAATAAAGAGAAGACTGTGGTATTATAACTTCACCCCTCTCAGAGGACATCCTGTCATTCTGCTCCTCTCCAGAACAAATGTTCTGACTGCTTCTTCCTCTTGCCTTTCCTTCTTGCCTTTTCTTCTTGATTTTCCATCCTACTACATTTGAGCATGTTTTTATGCATTGCCACACAAAGAGCAATCTAGCATTTCCTAGCCCCTAGTAAACCTTTCTTGTTAAATAGATCTTGTTCATGTCTCATCTTGCAGGCAGCAACATGGGGTTCAGTTTCTTGTCCACCCTTTCTGAATGGCTCATGAGCTCACTACCGGCTTCTTTACAGTTTCCCAATCAAAGAGTAGTTTCATCTTAGAGCAACTTTTAGCCCAACAGCATAATTTATAAATACATCCTTAAAATAAAGAACATATGAAATGTAGTTGGCATTAGGATGCTATCCACCAGATTGCATTCAGATAACTCGGATAAATCTTTCTTAGTGAGGATCTGAAGGTCAGACGCTTAATCTCACCTTCATGCAGATCTTCGTTCACACCAGGCTCAGCTGCTGCATTCTACAAAGACCTACGATTGGTATGAAACAACTTTTGCTATGTGCTAGCTGTCAGGGTAGTATGTTTTATGCCCAGTAATTTTCTGAGTTTTATGCTCAGTAACTTTCTGTGCAGCAATATGGAAGTGGGCACACCTACCAAGTAAACGATCTCAGAAACTCCCCCAGCTGCCATCCACAAGCACCAGCTGATCTGTTCACCTGAACATCCTAAGATGCTCCAGGGACATGTCAATGGGATGGCACTTCCTTGTTTAAATGCTGGCGCAGCCAGGACCCATCTCCTGTGATTGTTGTGTTTGCTGAGCAAACGAGCACAGCACACCACAATTATCTGTACCTCATGAGAGCGCCACAGTCCATGCTTCTTACGTTCGCAAAGAGCCATGCAGATATTCTGGCTCTCCTCAGACTGTGAACAGGCATGAAAATCCAGGAAACCCTGGACACAGAGCAGTGTATGAAGGTATTTTCTGAAACAATTGCTCAAGGGATAAATATGCCAGAGCACTGCCCAGGTACCCAGAAACGCCAGATGCAAAGCAAAGCTGATACGCTTTTAAAAATGAGCCACAGGCCAGGGAAAGACCTAGGCTTTGGCACTGCCCATGCCAGCTATTGGTTTTGAAAACTGGGTAGAGAATTTTTTTTACAAATGCTTCTATCAGATTTTAGCATGTGACTGACAAAGGAGACAAACAAAAGTGGTGGGAGCCATGAGGCTGACATGGTAGAGAATGACAGCAGTATCTTCAGTGCCAAGCAGCAGAGCTGGACTTTGAGGACAACAGACTTCTGAGGACACTTGTACACTGTGGTCTCTGACAGCCAGGAGTTCCCACCAGGAAGGTGTTTGCTAGGATCAGGGGGTGTTAGGTGCTATGTTTGATGTAAAGTCTTTGTTTCTCCCAGGCATACCTACTGAGTATGTATGAGCAAAAATATGCTTTTCTCTGTGTTCCATGTGCTTTCATATGCTTTTCTCTGTGTTTGAATCACAAAGAGTGGATGTGTTGAGCGGATCCATTGGTTGCATGATGCTGCTGTCCTCATTCAGTTTGCTGCTGCCAGCTAAGCTGTCCCCTGAGACACCCTCACCCCTTTCCTGTCGTCTGTTGCCACTTTTCTGCTACTTTCCAACACATTTTGCCAACAAAACAATTTAGTGTTTCACTCTGCCTGAAGCACATATACATCCTATTTGTTATCTTTGTTGTCTTTCACTGGTCTCAGTGTGTCTGTTGCACTACCTCCCCTCCTCTGAACTGAGCACACTGGATGAGAAAAAGAAAAAAAAACAGTCATATAAATATTTACTCAGTACAGTATTAAGAGCAGTGCTGATGCCATAACGAGCAGTGAGCTAATGACCTTTGAAACTGAAAAAAAAAGAACAAAAATGTTACTACTTTTCTTATTGTATCTATATTCCACATCTGCACAAAGCAGTTCCTCAGGGCACAGCTTTTGTCATACACCCAGCAGCTGGACAATTTGAGGAAGAAGAAGCCAGGAATAAAACAGGGACTGTTCAGTGAACTGCTAGAGTAAGACCATCCAGGAAGGACTGGAGAGGGCCTCTCAAGTCTGCACTAGAAAAGGACAAAAGGGAATAAGGGCTGGTCAGAAAAGAGACTGTCCATGGCTTCATTTAAACTGTGGAATTAAGGTGGGATTTCAGACTCCACTCACAAAACCTCAAGATTTATTTTTAAATATTCCTGTTCTTGAACCTGTTCAGGATCCTGTCTGATAGACACAACAGGACTGGAAAACTCCATGCTGTATACTTCATTTCATCAGGCTTATGCAGCTCAAAGTTGAGTCCTGTGCTGTCTCCAGGATAAGTATCTTGAGGACCATCAGAATCACCATCCTCTGTCACAAAGCACCAAAACCAGCTGCTCTGGAGGACCTCCATAACACGCTGCAGCCCAGTCACTACTCTCTCAGGCTGTACCCTGGCCTTCCAAGATCCTGGTAGATTAATCAAGCCATAGCAATGCACAGCAGCACGCCAGAAAACAGAAAGCCCTGATACATTTTTTATTAGAGTGCTTGGTCTAATGATTGCAAATATTTGCACTCTTTATTTATGGCACATAAACCAATTTCACTGTTGTCTCTCCTTACTCATCTCCATTTTGATCTTCTTTCTTTTCATTTGCTTTTTGCATAATGTTTTCCATTATCTTCATTTGCACTTGCAGTCTGTAAGCAATAAATAATTCCTTCACCCTTTTTCTTTTTTAGTAAAAGCCCTAAAAGCACCCTGTTTCCATTCCTGCAAGAGCCCTTGTCAAAGTGAACAATTTTCTTCATTGAATGTATTTGAAAACAGGAATTTTACAAATAAACACACCCATGGCCTCTTTAGTGAAAGCAAAGGACCTGCTCTTTGTGGGAAGTGTCACAAATTGTGAGTTCAAAAGTACATTGAAAGGAGAAAAATCACATGAGATAGATACACAATGGCCAAAGAAGACTGTATATCCTCTAAAGTTTAAGATTAGCATAAACAGAAAGTTTAACTTTAACTTTGCTTATCCTTGCTCATTGCAGCACTCAGACACAGGCAGACAAGCTACTGACAGTTGCAGCAACAGCCACCAAGGTTTCCCAACAGCAAAGATGGTCTTGGCGAGGCTTGCAGCACAGCAGCTTTGCTGCAGCACAAGGAAATGCATCATGCATTCCCTGAACACAGGGCAGACAAGAAGAAACCCGTGGGAGTAAGGCAACCCAGTAAGCTTGTTTCTGGGTGGTACAAAACTCACAAGCACAGCAAGGGAAAAAAAAAAAAAAAAAAAAAAAAAAAAAAAAAAACACAGAGCACAGGTTGTGATTGAGGGGGTTGGAGACATGAAAGCATTTAAGAAAGCAAATGTTCCCCATTGTGTGGAAGCAGTAAAGTCAAAGAAACTGATGGTGGCGCATGTGGACAGTCTTCAACCCAGCATGACCAGAGAATCTCATCAGAGTGCAGTGTTGTCACCATGACCAGAGATGTCATTAAAAGTACATCATGCTCTTGTTATGTGCCCCATCACAGACCAACACTCTCTGAAGCACGATGGCATTAACTTCAATGGTTCAATGAAGGCACGTGCCTCCTTCACCTCCCAACATCCGGGGCACATCCAGCATGCATGACAGCAATCACGGGCTTAAGATTGCATATTTAGAACATGAGTAAGATTTCCTTAAAGATACACTTTGTCATGCAGCTTTCAAAACACAGCATGCCATGATCAGAAGATAAACCAAAGCTGGTTATGGAGTACAGCTTGGGGATATAATGGTCACTGCAATTTTAGTTACCAGAGCCTTCATTTTATGCAGCTGTGTATAATTTCTGTTTGGCAGTAGGAATTTGGCATGGAGGAGCATGAGCAATGTTTTCTAATTCTCTCCCAATCCCTACACCCCAGAAAGTTTTTGTGCACTAGCTTTCTTTGTTCCCTGAGCATCTGAAAGGCTCTGTATGATGCATTGTTATCAGGACATTTGAGATGACTACATAGGATTTATTTTTATGTTAGTACAGTAAAACAAGGAGAGTGGGAGCAGCTGACAATGACAGTGTAAAGAGAGAAATGGATTCTTATTATTGGAAAGCTCATTGGAAGCACTGTCAAGAGCAGTTGATGTCCATTTTGTAGTGTCAAGAATTAAACAAGTTAAAATATTTTAAAAACACTTGTCAGAATGCTGATTTTGAGCTCTCCTAAGTTCTAATTGAAAGGACAAAAATATATATAGTTTTTAATGCCAAATGTCTTTAAAACACTGAGATTTTTATGTCAGATTTTATGTATTTCTTTTATGTTGGTCACCAAAGCTTCTTTGTGTTTGACTATGTTGCATTCATTCCATGAATGATTGGGTCTCTTTACTTCCCATTTAAATTTCTCCTCGGTAGATGATATTGAATGGTGACTTGCAGACAGCAAAAAGGTATGTGTGATCAGTGCCTATTTATCTCAAAATGGTACGCACATTATTTTGTTGACATTGTCACTGCAGGGGCAGGTAGGGGAGAATCGCTGCTGTGTCAGGACGCACATGAACTTCCCTCTGCATCTTGCAGGTTACGTGTCGGATCCCATGAGTACCATGAGATTTCATTCCTGCAGCAGCAGCGGTAGCTTTGAAGAAAGCAGCTGACAGCATGGATCGCCTTACTGCAGAAAGTCACCAAAAACCAGCAGCAACTGTTCTTACCATACCAGCCTAACTCCCAAGCATCGCATGCTATATTGATGGTACCCAAACTGACCCCTTTATTTGCTGACAATGAATGTCCCTCTCATGTTATGTGCTAGCATCTTTTTCTGCTTATCTTGAGGGGGCTTTTTCTTTTGGTGGTGTGCATCTACCCTTTAACAAAGTGAATGCCTGAACTTCCAGCATGAGCATTAAAAATATGAAGAGGTGACAGTAAAGGTGTGTCTGTTAAAGTTTAAAGCTCTGCTGCAAGTTGTTGTTACCTGGGTCCGCATCCCTGACCAGCAGCTGCCGCAGAGCCCCAGCCCACCTCACCACTGCAAGAAACAGCTTGTCCTTCCTGCCACCACGCCAGCCAAGCTCCAGCTCCCAGCTCCTGAACGAGATTGTCTCTTTTGTGAGCTCCCCACTGTCACAGAAACACCTTGCCCTGCATTCTCAGTACCTCAGGCTCACACAGCTTGCTGGCACAGCAGCCCCACTACATCTTTTCTGAGCCCTGATCTGCAGTTGCTTTCCTGCTCTCTGAGAATAATGGGGTACTTGGGTAGCCATCATAACTGTACTCTTCCAGACATTTCTGTCTTCTCATTTGCTTCCTTGTTTTGGTTTGAGTTCCTTTTTTTTTTATTATTATTATTTTTCTTACAAAGTACATGCTCTAGTTCAGTCATTTGGTAACAAAAAAGCCACATGGGAACTTCAAAAGAAACTTTTCACCAGCAGGGTAACACGCAAATCAAATCCCAAACCACCTATGTTACTGCAGACAGGTAAAATCATTGTGCCGCAATAATCCTAAAGCAGAACAGAGCTACATTTTTCACTCAAAGCAGTTCCAAGGCAAAGTGCCAACTAATGCATGCTGAGTGTGCCTGCCGAGACCGGGTTTGCAACAGATTTCTCACTGGAAGTTTAAAAAAAAAAAATGGGAAGGGCAAGACAACATGAACCCTTCTTCTAGAGGCAATTACACAGTTAAAATTATGCTGTTATTTTTCTGGAATCTGTTTTGAAAATAGTAAATTTTTGCTGCAAGCAACACTGCTATAATATTATTCCTTAATTGCATTTGAATACACAACTGTCAGGTGGGTAGAAATGTGGGTTCATGATTACTGCATGTTGCTCTGTGGATATTATTCAGGATGTTGGATTCTTATGACTACAGTGTCTGAACCGAGCTCTGTGATAAGGCATTGTGCAGTGTGACAGACATGCTCTATAAATTAGTAATAGGCTCTGCTGACTCATGTCTTGCATGCTGTTAGTTTCATAATCCTGAAGCAATAAAAATGGGGAAGGTTTCACTTAGTGAGGTTTAGAGGTCTTTTTCCTATTTGTTTTGTTTCACCTAGGGAAAATTTTTCTATTAGTCTGTAAAACCAGAGTATTGGGAGTGTGGTGTTTTTTTTTGAGCAATACAAGAAGCTCTGAGAGCCAGCATGTTCCTAACCACAGGACTCATTTCCCTAATTGTTAAAATCATACACACAAGAACCATTTATAAATATTGAAGTATTTTAAATTATGTATTATCAGTTTTCCTGTCCCTTACAGTCACTGCTGCCTTACTCTTTTGGGATTTCCCTGATGACCCAGATCTTCTGCAGCCAAGGAGTGTCTTGGGAGTTCAGGTGCTTCTTAGTGACCAACTCTTGCCTTCTTTTCTAAAATGTTGGATTGGATTTAGTTATATCTGTTACTGCAAACTCACACCCCCGCTTAATCATCTCCAGAGTGCTCTGAATGTCAGCTATCTTTAAAGGAAGATTCTACCCATAAGGAGAAAAAACAAACAAACAAACACACTCATGGCTGAAGTGCCAGGAGCAGAGACTGGAGGCTGGCAATCTGACAATAAACTGCTCCAGGAGGAGTCCCCTGCACAACACTGTGGGGCACGGGTCCTGCCACCACCTCGCCTGCTGCCATTCAGCAGCCACAGAAAGGACAAGGACGCGCTGGGGCAGGGACACTGCCCCAGAGCTGACGTTGGGGGATCCCTGCCTTGGGCAGAGCCACACGATGCTCCCTTGCCACAACGCAGTCAGTGCTGCAATGGGGACCCCATTCCCATTCCCTGTGCTCTTTTTTTGCAGAGTGAGAGTATTTAACAGCATTTTGAGATGCTTTGCTGATCACTCTGGCACTTACCTACGACACACAAATCTCTTACCTTTCCCATTTTCCTCCTGTGCTCAGTAAAGCAGATAAATGTCAAACAAGCCAGTTGTTTGGTTCGTGACTTGCCTGAGTACAGCCTTAGCTGTAAGCCTGAACCTTCCAGGGAATCACTGCTGAGGCAAATCTTTGCCTCTCACCTTTGTCCACCCCTAACACCTGAGCAACCTGTGTGTATGCATGTGCATTCGTAAAACACTTTTGTCTGGTCTTGCCCACAAGCCACATCCATTTGCTTTTCATACAAATCTGTATGATCCAGTTTTAGTAGCACAAACACTCAACCCAACATTACTTAGTCATTCAGTTAGAAAGCAGAGATAACTACTGAAGACAAGGCCCTACTTGATTGCCAAGTATTATTCTTACAATTTAATCATTTGCAAAAATTCAATGAACTACACAGACTGATACATCATGTTTTTTTCTTGTTTGTTTGTTTGTTTTTTAATAGACTCAAGTAAATATGCGTATGTGCAAATGTGTAGAGAGAAAAAACAACTCTGGAGGTCATTAGCATTAATTTGAATTCCAAACACTTCGTATACCAGGTGTATTCAACTGTAGAGTATGTAAATACAGGTTATTTATTTACTGTAGTTTTTTATGCTGAGCAACACTGGAAATGTCTTGGTCCAGAGAATAAGCCAATACTGATTTTATGGACACTCCCTGGTTAAAAGGAAAGGAGCGTTGCTGAGTTCTCAAAAGTCGAACACATGCTTTGTAAGCAAATATTGCCTATCTTGCACAGAATAAATATTTCCACTGCACCACAAAGGATCACTTAATGCAATGCTTTGTTTAAGCTGCTGATGACAGTAAAGCTATCAGTCTTCTTTGTCTGCTTTCTTCTTTCAAAATACTTCCTGGTATCCAGATTAAAAATACAAATGTAACCATCTTTAGTACAGGAGGAAACAAAAATGAATTGATCGCATTTAAATTTGTATGTGTTTAAATGTGTATTGTTCTTAAATAATTTAGGGTAACAAACATGTCAAAATCCTGCTTGTTTCAGTTCCTTTCCTGATCTGAAAACCCAGCTACAGCTACATGCCGCTATGCTTACCGCCCCTGCGCATGGCGGGCAGGACCTCAGGGTCCCTCCAGAGGTGGGGGAGCTGAAAAGGGGATGGGCAGCAGAGACCCACAGCCAACCCGGGGTTGAAATGTCCTTATTCTGAGCCACATGCTGCCACAGGTCCAGCAGCAGTTCCACCACAGACTGCATGGGCCTGTGGAGTTACACCTAACACCAGTGAAAGCAAAAGGCTCAGGCTTTCCTCATTCACATTGTAAATCAGTTACAATTGCTCTGATTTAACATTTCCCAACATCTTTTCAAAGTTCTGAGAACGCACTGAAGTGTGGTCAGCACCAAGCCTGGCTCTGCATGGCGAGTGCTCCACAGCAGCCACCCCTGCGCACAGCACCCGCCGTGACGGGGCCGCTTCCCACTCCTGCGGCAACACCCCGATGCCCTGCACCAGATCAAACCACCGATGTGCTCAAGTGCCCTGCACACACCAATGAAGACACAACCCCATCTCACAGGGAAGAGTTTACAGTTTAAAAAGCCAAATAACTCACATAAAAATGCAGAGAGGAGATACAATCAAGCACATACACTCAGATGTACATTTATAGTCCTACAGTAACACACACAGAGCACCTATCCTTAGCTGTCACTCCTGTCAGGTAGCAAAGGCAAGGGGTGTCTGGGGAGGATGGGAAGTTCCCCACTGCAGTATTTTTCTGGGTTTTGGAAATAGCAAGTGTGGCAGCTGTGGAACAATCCTTGTGATTTTGGTCTTCATAACTACAAAGGAGTGCTGTTCCCCGGGCTGGCATACACTTGCTAATTTGAGCTGTCTGCTGCACACTGAGAAGCTGCTGTAGAAGAATGTGACAGACAGTTGTACTCGCAAAGTAAAATGAAGGAGTGAGTATCCTGAAGGGCACAAATCTAGTAGATGTGTAAATGTTGCAGAAAACAGCACTGAAGAAGCTGCAGAAAAAGCTTAGAGGACAGTTTCTTCCTTGTCCTGGGGCCCTATGGAGGGCACAACAGCTGCATCCAGGTTTACAACATCCTAGGAAATGATGAGAAAAATGTTAGCTTTACAGAAAATAGGCTAAACTGAGGTAGAGAGATACCACTATAAGACACTTCCTGCAGCTAGATGCCAGAGCAACCAGAGAAGCCAGCTGCTGCTGCTGGCATGCAGCACAGAGCTCACGGGCAGTAACAGCAGCAGTGGTGACACTGAGGCCGCTCCACAC